CGGGCATCAGCCCATCACCGAAAACCCATCAACTTTTCCAGGCCTCGCCTCTCGAAGCCGCTGCTCAACTTGCCCAAGGAACGGAACCCTACACGCGATCGCAAACCCCAACCCACAAACCACCAGAGATGCACATATCACCCAGCCGGATCTCGCGTAACATGAACTCGCGTAACATGAACTCGCGTAACATGAACTCGCGTAACATGAACATGAACATACACCCCAACCGCCGCGGGCAGGTATAACTATCTCCTTCTTATTCCAGAACATTCAATACAACGGTATCGGCACAAGGCGCAGCCTGCACCTCCCTGTACTGCACCAAGCCAGGGTTTTCTGGCGAGAAGGACAGGGTAGGGTTCGGAATACAGCGATACCATGGCACACACACACACACACACATGGCTGAAGACGTAGCGGAGCCACACACGACAAAGAAAAAGAAAAGAAAAGCTGAAGGAAGAGAAGTGGCTGGACAAACGGGGCGCCGGGGATTTTGAGCGGGCCAAGGGAACACATACACTGGTACGCGCATGCATGCAATATCCCTGTGTGATTTCTGCTGGGGAGACTGTTACTTGATTTAGAAGCTGAGGTTTCAGGTTTCCTCTTTATTCTTGTGGGGTATGGGGGTGGGAGACTTGTGTCTGGAAAGACGAGAGGAAGGGGGCAGAGAGGGTAGAGCAGGGGGCACAAGGGTCGTACTATCCGCTGAGCATTCATGCAGGATGGAGAAGAAGGGAATCGGCGAAGAGGCAGTAAGAGAAGATGGATTGATAGAAAAGAAAGAAGAAAGAGCTTGGTGCGAAGTTGGCGCTTGTATCATCTTACAGGTTTGGTTGATTGGTCATACTAAACAATGTAGTCTGGTTGATACGAGGTAGTAGTCGTGATATACAATCGTCAGGAGCCATTCAGCAAGCTCCACCATTAGTCGATCAACCATGCCCCCGACATGCTCATGTTCGCGCCAAGATGCGGTATTATACAATAAGGTGTCTACAGCAGACCACAAAAAGAGAAACGTCGCGTCGTTACTCTATACAGAAAGGGGCAAAGGTCATCAGCTGGTCATCCATGCCGTGACACGCTGCGCGCCAAATCGTCCCATGAATTGCAAACCCGTGCTACCCATTGGGAAGTAGCTGACAAGATACCAAAGCAGAGCGGCGAGCTGGAAGATCGACGAGATCAGGGTCAACAAGGTGGAATGGAGCTGTGAGACCGTGAAAGCATGTTAGCCGTTATTCCTATCCCAATCTGGAGTCTTTGGACCTGCACGTGCATGTGCACGTGCATTCCCCAAGAGAAAGCAGCACTGCTGGAGGTGTGCGGTAAAAGATCACTTTGAACGCCCCGGCAATTCAATGCATCATGATGTCATGAATCCTTGTTGGAAGAGACCTCGAGAATTATGCACGGTGCACCCCAGGCGACATGCAAGATCCTCCAGCAGTAGCTACTGAGATCGCTGAGCAGCTGGCGCTGATAGCGCAGGCATACTCGACACAGGGGCAACATAGATGAATTTTGGCACCACAGTCGAAGCTTAGAGGAGGCATGGAAACTTACCCCAATAGCAAAGTAGAGGGTCATGGCGATCGAACCGAAATAGGCGGCCGTGAATGGCAGTCGTGATCCCGAGACCAAATGTCTGGCATAGACCATCGGTCCCATGAGGACTGCCCATGATAGTAAGAATAGCAAAGAACCGACGGACCATCTAATTTCCAAGCAAAAACCGGTTGGGTCAGCCACAGTCTCTCATTCACACCAGCCTTGGCGCATGAAGTATTGAGTTGCAATAGAGTGTAGCACGGAAGCTGGAATGTGGCTTGGTCGTGCATGCTCTCCAGCAAGGGCAGGAAGAGCACACCACCACCTCAAATTCTCCAGATGTGTCGAGGTTCCAGAAGATCATTCGGGATAAGGGACAAGCAACTTACAAGATGGCAAATTTGCGGGGTTTGAGCGACAGGACTGGAAAGAGGAAAAAGCAAATAAGGAAGCAGACGGCAGCACCCAGGTTGCACGCAATGAAAATGAGCATCCGGTCCCATCGGCTTACTAGAACGGGATGCATGATTAGCCCTGGCCGAAACTCAAATGACGGGGATATAACAGAATGGAACCTCCAAATAGAAGACATTAGTATCGCCCGTTACTAGGGCCTGGGTGAAACTCCGATGCGATGCAGGAACTGAGTCTCTGTCACCTGGACCAGCCAGTGCGGGAAATCAAGGAAACGGGCAGTATGTCGGAGTAATCAGATCATGCGCTAGGAGGACTACTCACAAGCAAAGAAACTATCTTCTTCTTCCCGTCGAGTCGGGGCTGGCAGAGGAGCTCCTGGAGCTTCATGGGTGGGCAGCTGCAGATAGCCCTCCCCTTGCCCAAATGGATTCCAAGACTGCAACCGTGATAGGAAAGGAGCATTTGACGAGTTGGTGCGCGCCGGTAGATCTGGATCTCTCCGAGACCAGCCCAATGAGTTCACGGAATCACGGAAGGAAGTCGTGGCCATGGTCACGATTTGCTTCGCCACTAAGCTGTGGATTGACCTAGGTGGGAGGGAAGGTGGGCTGCGACAACGGAAAGGAGGAGGCAAGCTCGGATGCCGATACTGCTACTATTGCGGAAGCGTAAAAGACGGGGCCGACCACTGGAAGCGCAATATTGCGGTATCAAGGCGAGGAGACCTCTGCAGGGACTATGCAGGACGGAAACCAATATGCGCGTGCAGATGATCTGCGAAATATCACTGGAGGAGGGGGACAAGACACAGCAGCTGCACGCAAGAAAAACGAGTGCGGCAGTGATAGGACGAGACCTGAGCGGGCCAGATGACTGTCGCGCAACCGGACTAGCCTCCCGAGGAGCTTGGGCACGGGGCAAACCTAGTGTCTGCTACTCGAGTCAAAGTGGCTTAGTCGCACGTCGAGCAAAGTGAAGCTGATAAGCCTGTGACTCCTTCCAGATCGGTATGTATAAGGTACTGTGTGGAAGACTGAAGGGGAGGAAAGGGGGGGCGAGCTATCTGTCTGAAGCAGCCGGCTCTGTAGCTGAAAACCGCAAAGGTGTGACTCTAGAGCTCGACAGTCGAGTGGACTGAAACAGTACGATATCTCCGAGGAAGCTGATGTAACACTTGTATGGCCCAAGACCTTTCCACCGATCCGGAATGGCGATTAACCTCCAACCTCAGCGCAAGGAATGTGAAGGTCGGGATGAAAGCTAGTATAGCAAAGTGGAGAGCTGCGCAGACCGGAGAATGACAGGGATAGGGGGAGGTGGGGGGAGGAATAGGAGCTGCAAGATGATGAGGGCGATGACGATGCCGGGGGGGGGGAAAGAATAGATGGTGGTGAAGGAACGTAACGCTAGGGCCACCCTATTTTTGTCGAGAGCAACAGAGATCAGCTCTATACAGGTTGCAAGATTAGCCAGTCGTCAGATGACTTGCCCGACAGAAGAAGAGGGGGTGGGTGTGGGTGGG